GTTGACCTTTACCCTTTTAATTTGAGGAGAAGGGCGTATCAGCTATAGACACTAAAATTTACCGACCGCGAAATCACAACTTCATAAACAAATATACAATTAATGTTTCCGTTTGTTTGGCTTTGCTGTTTTGCCTGTCAGTTTTACTTTCTTTTTCTTGCAATACCTACATGTTATTTCATCCATACGCTTCTCTGTTTACTCAGACAATCGGTGAATTTCTTTTCCTTTACAGGTTCCTTACAACTCTTCCCTTACTGGCTTCCATCCTAGTTCTTCTCGTCATCGCCGTCGACAGATACCGGAAGATCTGCAAGCCTCTCCACCACCAGATCCATCTCGCTCACGCCCGCATCGCCATTTTCATCGTCATCGTCGTCGCCCTCATTTTCTCCGTCCCCGCGCTGTTCCTGTACGGACACCGCACGTTCCCCACGCCCACAGCAGGGGTCATGGGTCACGACTGCTCCGTGGATGACGCCTACAGGAACAGCGTGCTGCCCATCGTCTACGAAGGCGTGTTCGCCGCGGCTTTCGTCCTCTGCACCCTTGTGCTGGTGTCTCTGTACCTCCGTATATGGATGGAGACGCGGAGACATAGAAAGTACATGAAAACGCACGCGTCCATGGGTCGGATCAAGCTAGATGAGTTTATCGGTTCTTCTGTTTGCCTCGAATCTTCGACGGACCCGACTCCAGAGGTTCATACGTTGACGTCTCAGGCTAGTTTGAGTAGTAAGTCGCCCGCGTCCTCGTTGAGGTCGCTGAAGAAAAGGTGGCGATCCGGGCGCTACAATGCCAAACTGCGACACACGCAGGTAGACCAGAGGGTGGAACCGGAGACCACAGAGCCTCTGCCAGTGAAAAACGTGGCTCTTGAGAACGGAGGTCATGGAGACGGGAGAAATGATCCTTTAGTTGACACTGGAACACACGAACCTGTGTCTGACGTAGTGAACACGAATTCTTCTCCCTTCATGAATCGACGTCAGTCTGCTGTGACCTTTGAATTAAGTCCCTATCCAACGGAGAGCCTCGATTCCACGACTGAAGACTTCGATTCTCAAAATGAGATTCGAGAATTTCAAACGGTGGATCTCGATTCCCAGGCTGACAATTTCGATTCCTCTGGTGAAAACCTGGATTCTTCTGTTAAGATACTCAATTCAAAATCCGGTGATCTCGATTGCAGTAAGGAGATCCTCGATTCACGTTCCAATAACTTCGATTCCAGTGGCGAAAACGTCGAATCCAGTGCCGAGAACTTCGATTCCAAAACTGAAAATCTCGACGCCAAAGCCGACCACCAAGATTCTCAGATCGACATCGTTAATTTCCCGAGCGACGACTCCAAATCGAAGGAGGCACTACCGTCTACGGACGAGGAAACTGAGCTTTCTTCCAAGAAGGAAAATCTCAACGGTATTACGTCCACAGCCAATCTTGAGAACACCACCACACCGGCACGCGAATCCCAGGAGAGTCCAGAAAAAGACTCCGCTGCCATTCAAAATCAGCGAATACAATTACGAAAACCTGAGGTGTTGAGGAAGCCTGGTAGACTCCTTAAAACGAAGTCCTCACAGTCACTATACTACGCCGCCCGAGTGAAGAAAGCTTTACGCGCGACCAGAATGACAGTCATCGCTTGTGTTATAACCATTGGATTTATCCTGAGTTACCTCCCTCACCTCATCCTCATCATTCTGAGGTCGGTTATCGTCGACTTTGAACACAATTTCAATGACGCATCCCTCGTCCTCTACAACATATTCCTTCGTTCTTACTTCGTGAACACCGTTCTCAATATTTTTGTCTACGGTTCGATGAACCTCGAGTTTCGCTCGGCTCTTGTCTGTGTTTGGAAAAAGATCAAGTCGCCATTTGTAAGAGACAGTTCACAGTCCGAGTGTTGAGGAAGGTGGGGGTTGGGGTTGGGGTTGGGGTTGGGGAGATCTTTTATCATGTGTTTTATTGATTCTCCTGTTTCATTTTCAAATGTGGAGGGTCCATGTGAATGTGTTTGTATGTGCGAGTGTGTGTGTGTGTGTGTGTGTGTGTGTGTGTGTGTGTGTGTATGTGTGTGTGTGTGTGTGTGTGTGTGCGCCTGTGTGTGTGAGAGTATATGCATTTGAATGTTTTAATGTGCCTGTCATTTCATGTATAAGTGTTAAAGTGTGTTTGTGTTTGAATGAGTGTGTAAAATACCCATAAAGTCAATGACTAATATAACAAAAACAGCCCTGAAGACTCATTTAAAAGAATCGCAAACCATTCATGAGATTATTACATAATGTAAGTAGTATTTCACTATACTTGTGTATGTGTGCATTTAATAACGCTAACCCCCACTGATAGGTCCAATTCTTCTAATTTTAATGTCACAGTTTTTTTGTTGTTGTTGCTTTTTTTCACGTACTAAATGACCTTCATTTGGGCCAATGCTCTGCTCTTTACTCAAATTAATACTAAAAGAACCCACCACCCTCCCAAAAAAAAATCCCACAGTGTTCAGTGCGTATGCAAAGTACTTTTTTTAAAAGGAAAAGTCACATCTCCCTACAACTCTAAGAGCACATCTGGTTATATCTAAATGTAAGTACATCTATAGACGGCCTTTTCCATCCTGGCAGACGAGATTTTTAAGCAGTATGCACCATACAACTTTGCTTGGGCGGAAACCCTAAGTACTTCTTCCCTCATTTGAGAATTTGACTTCCTTGATGCTCCCAAGAAGAGACATAGATCTAGTCAAATGACAATATATAATTATTGTACGTAATTACGAAGTCCCATCCGCTCAGTACTTAGTTTTGAGAAATTGGACGTTACTATTTTTTGTTTCGGAACATGTTAAGTTTTTTCGAATGCAGTTATTGGAATATCTTGACAACGACTCCGAATAACCTTACGATTTTGATAGAAAACGGACAACATTAAAATTTGGTTTCTGGCCTTATGGTCGTAGTAACTCAAAACGGCCAAATATGTCAGATAGAAGTTTGTAATTCAAAGGTAGCGAGAAGACATATTCATCCCAGTTTAAACTCGCATACGAAATGGATCAGATTCGAGTGAAGATTGTACATGACAAGATTACTTACTTCTCTCTTCCTTTATGTAAATACTGTAAGCTCTACAATTCATCAATGTCATGCTTTTACTATATGGGAAAACAAAGGGGGAACTGCTGCTTTTTCTTTCCTCAACCTTACTACATGTATTGTCATTTTCCTCTACTTCTTTTATATGTTTGTCACTCTCTTGTGAACTGCTATTTCCGGGGTGCCTTGATAGTCGAAGTAGACTTTGTGCTGTTGAGGCTAGAAAGGTGAGCAGAGTCAGCTTGATTCCCCGTTTGGACTTCTCGGTTGACATCCACCCCTTGGCGCTCATATGACCTTACGCAGTTGCGTGCGCCATAAAACCGAACTAAAACAAACTAACAATTCAAACTGACGCCTGTGGTACAGCTGTTTCCCTTTGCACGCAGAAGACCTGAGTCCAATTTCTGAGTAATGAGAATTTTTATCGAGTATCTCAGTCTTTCAAAACTTTCTCCACGCGGGAAGCGAACAAACGTCTTCTTCGTGCAAAAGCCAAGTGTCTATCCATTTGACCTTGGACATTTTTCTAACCGTGCTTCCTATTGCAGAAGCGGAAATTCCTCCTCCGTCACCTTCCCCTCAAACAAACTCAGTACGGAATGCCAGATATCGATCTGGTACTACAATTATAGTTGTCTGCTGTATATATTAGTTTCTGCGTATGCTGCTCATGATGTGATGAGAGACGTAAGAGTGTGTGTGAGTGACTGGCAGACAAAAGTCACGGTCGGGGAAAGAAGGAGAGAGAGAGAGGGGAGAGAGAGTAACTGTTTGTGTGTGTATTGGGGGGGGGGGGAGAAAAGCGAACAGACAGACAAAGACAAACAGAAATGGAGAGAGAGAGAGAGAGAGAGAGAGAGAGAGAGAGAGAGAGAGAGAGAGAGAGAGAGAGAGAGAGAGAGAGAGAGAGAGAGAGAGCATGGTGAGGGATGGGGTGGCATAGTGACATAAAGAAAAAACGTTATGTAAATAATAAATCCATTTTAAAAGCTTTTGATACAATTGGTTTGTGTGTTAATTTCTTTCTAAAATAACCTCGTACTGACTTGCATTGTTGTCCTTACTTAAAACTCTTGTTGTTATTCTAGTCTTGTTATCATTATTATTATCAGCAACATCCTCACCTTGATATTTTAATATTATGCATGAGATAAAGGTTCGTTTGCTTGATTGAGTAAATTAACGAACATCGTTACAATAAATTTTGAATGAAGCTCATTTATTAGGGGAGGTCAATCAATGGTAAGAAGGACAGACAGCAGATACAACACAGAGGGAAAGACAAAAATAATCTAGGACTGCAAGAGGGTTTTTTTTCAAAAACCCTCAACAATGCAAGAGGGTTTGAACTGATAACTGGACTCAAACTCCAATACCATTAACCAGTATTGATATTTTCAGGAGAGGAAATGTCGATACATCTCTAACATTGGTGGGTGCTCTGGTGTGGTTTGCTCCTTCTTTCCTATCAAACATCTATCGTCTTTATCTACCCTCCTTCTTTTTTGTGCTTGTTACTCTCTTGTAACGCTTCTAATCTTCGGCAGTTATATGATTCTTTTTGTGTTGTAAGTGCCGTAAAGCTCTTACTAAAACTAAAACTCTAACATTGGGCACCAGTACAATTAACCGGTATTGAAAAAAAATGATAAAAAGCTCTAACTGTGGCACCAGTATAGTACATAGTAAACGGGCATTGAAAGATACAGAGGATAGCTCTCTAACTGTGAACCTGGAATACCTGGAGGTGTCATCTCTGGTTCAGAGGTTGACGTCAAATGACCCTCCATCCTTCACGGTCGCGAGCTGCCGTTGCACATTCTGCTGTGCCCAGGCTTGTCCATGCTTTAATGCTGTCCATCCATGGACACCAATACAGTTAACCAGTGCTGA